TGAGACCTACCCTCTTAACAAATTTTTAAGTGCACAATACTGTACTACTGTCAACTATAGGCACTGTGTTGTACAGCAGATCTCTAGAACTTATTCATCTTGCATAACTGAGCTTTTATAACCATTGGGAAACAACCCCCCACTCGCACCTTCCCTGGCAACCACCATTCTGCTCTCTGCTTCTCTAAGTTGAAATACTTTTAGATACCTCCTCTTATAAGCGGACTGTGCCGGGCTTATTTCACTGAGCATAATGTCCTTCAGGTTCACCCATGTTGTCACAAAGGCTAGGATTTCCTTCTGTTTTTAAAACTAAATAATATTGCAACCAAATGTCAAAATGGATAATACTCTATTCCAAATGTGACACCACTTCCATCTCTCCTTCCCAAATCCAACCCATCACCAACTCCTGTCATCTGTTCCTTATAAAATCTCCCCAATCTCTCTTTCTACTACCAGATATTAGTTCAAGCTACTATCATCTGCATAGTGGCCTCCTAACTGGTCTGTCCGCAGCTACTCACACTCTTATCTAATTTATTCTATATGATGCAGAACCAGTGAGGGGCTGGTCTGTGGTTACTTCTCTAGCCTCAGCCCACACCACACTGTCAGCTCCCCATTCTCCAGCCAAGGGTCTTTCTTGCTCGCCTAGACTGCTTACCCTTGCTGCTTCTACCACAGGGCCTTTGCACAAGCTCTTTCTGCCGCCCGGAGTGTTCACCTTCTAAACTCCTACCCTTTCCTCAGATTCCAGGCCAGACCTCTCTTCCTTAGGAAAGCTCCCCTGTACCCTCAGACTAAGTCAAGTCCCCCTCTCATTCTCCCAAGTACTTTTCCTTCACTGCCTTTATCAAGGTATGGCCTATCCTTTATTTTTGTGATTTGACCATCTGCCTCCCACCATAATGTGTATGCCAGGAAGTCACCTCCAGGGTCTAATTTTGCTCATTTAAATTCCCAGAACCAGGTGACATTCCAGCAAGTGACAGGCACTCAGTAAAAGTTTTCCATGTTTTTCTTTTTTTCCCTTCCAAAGTCCTAGGTGTGCAGAAAATCTTAGAAGCACAAAGGGAATTTTGACACATTGTAGATTTCCAGGGCCAACCCCTGCAGCTTATGATTGTCTGTCAAGAGGAAATAAAAGCATAACTCAGTGGTGTCTTCACAGTTTATGCCTGCCAGTTCTACTTTTCTATAAATACAGTCCTCATTTTCAAGGAATTTGGATAAGATCGTCGCAGTGGACTATTTTGGGGAGGCACTGTCTGTTCTATTTTGGAGGGGATGTGATCATCTGTCTTCATTCCTGGAGCAGGCGTGGACATGCTGTGTGGACACCCACTGCCAACTCACATACGAAGCTGGACGTGTCCAGTTCATGCTTCACAGGCCCTGGGCGGGGTTTCAGAGGCCGGGCTGCGAGGCCTGCAGAGAACACCTCCTGCGGGACCCATAATTTGAGGTTTTCTCTCCATCGCTCCCTTCCCCCTACTGTCCAGTGATGCAGGATGCAGCTGAGAGCAACTCTTTGTCCTATAGCGCTTTCACTACATCTGGAGCTCGGCCTCTGGGTCTTAATGCTCAAGGCCTTTTTCAGGACAGCAGCCCTTAGCTCGGAATAGGAAGGGTATACAAACAGCATGAGATGTGGAGATCTTGAAAAAACTCATGTAATTGTTGGTGCCAAAATTGGGGAAAATGTTGAGATCATGATTTTGCAATGTAGTTTTCTTATTGCTATATAACTTGTAAATAATATTTCTAGGCATACCTTTGAAGATGTTAGATATACACACACACGTCGCTGTAATTTGAGTTACAGTAAAACTACAGTACAGCTAATTACAGGAAATTATAAATGTAACCCAGTGCACAAGCAATAACAGGGCAAGTATACATTGTGTTGATGTTCTTTTTTGTGTTAAAAAAAAAGGATATAATTTTGAATATAAATATGTAATATAAATTTAATATAAGGGCTTATTCTTTGTATTTAAAATCATGGACATTCTTGTACATATGAAAGGATATTGTATACACTGACAAAGAATTTCTCATTAACCAAACTCTACTCAGGTTTGCCTGAACTACTTTTTTCTTTTTTTCCCCTCTTTCTCATATATAATAGTTATATATTTTGGGGGTAGATATGACATTTTGGTACATGTATATAGTGTGTAATGATCAAATCAGGGTAATTGGTATATCCGTGGCTTCAAACATTTATCTTTTCTTTGTGCTGGGAAAACTCCAATTATTTTCTTCTACATATTTTGAAATATATAAATATATTGTTAACTATATTCTCCTGAACTTATTATTGAAAACTAGAACTTATTCCTTCCATCTATCAGTATTTTTGTACCCATTAACCAACTTTTTTCTCTTCATTCTCCCTCCAAATCCTTAACTTTTCAACTAGGACTGACTTTGGATTTCCATGTTCATTTCTGCATTGTCCAATTGTAGTCAGTTTAACCAGAATCCCGCATCCTCAGTGTCTGATCATCCTTGGAATCTAATCAGATCCCTCATCCCCCACCATCCCCCAGGTGATATCTGATCATCCTGGCCTGTCTTCAGCATGAAGCCTGTTAGGTTGGTTTAGCCAGCACTCCTCTCACTCATGAAGTTCCTCTTTGTAATGTTCCACCCACAGACCCTCACCTTGCTCCTTGGCTGTAAATTCTACCTGGCCACTCTGCATCAGAGTCAAGACCAATCTTTCTCTCCCACTGCAAGACCCCACTGCGGTGGTCCCTACACCCACCACAATGGTCTTGAATAAAGTCTGCCTTGCCATCTTCAACAAGTGCCACTGAGCAATTTTTTCTTTAACAACAGAGATATATTCATACAAGACAAACATATGCATACCGTCAAAACTGGACAACCAACTAACATTCCACAATCAATACTCTTATATGACTTTTATCCATGCATAGAAACATTTTCAAAGTAATATTTAAACATATATGTAACTTATCATGTTGAACATTTTTATGTTGTCAAATCTTTTTTTTTGAGCAAGAACTAGCACAGAAGGTCTCTCCTTTCCAAAACTAAGGAATAATATTTCTGAATCCAGTTAGGAAAGGATGCTACAGGGGAAAACATTGACTTTTTTAAAAAAACTAGAACAGTTTCCGTTATATCAGGTACTCATCCATTCATCCCAATATAAAGATAGTCTCTAGTGTATCCTCTGCCTTCTCTAATGTAGGAGTTGAATGTCTCTTCTAAAACATAAAACTGTATGCACATACTACATTTAGCTGTCGAATCAATCAGTCTGGTCATGGAGATCATAAGAACTTGCTAAGAATAGTTAATGATAAGACTGACCTAAAGTTAGCAACTTTGCTAGTCAGGTGTTTTAATTCTTTCTCCCAAATGAGCTTTAAACAAAAAAATGTTAGATTTTTAATGATGCATGTGTAATTTGATGCCAATGTATTTGCATCTATCAGAGGAAGGGTTTTTCATTGTCTCTGGCATAATTGGTCATGTGAGAAACCCTAGGGCTTTGCCTTGTGACCTTGTCAAACACACTAAACAAAGCCCTTGACTTGCCAGGAGGAAATGCATCTACTACTCCGTCACTCAGGGATTCACGCTGACACATGGCAATTATTTAAATGTGTTTGTATTATTACAAACCATTTTCCAGAGTAAAGTCAAGGGAGATCTTGAAGAGACTTTGTTATTTTTTTTTTCCAGTGCTTACAGAACACTCCCCCAGGGGCCCCCCTCCCCCTTTTTTGAGACAGATTCTTGCTTTGTCACCTGGGCTACAGTGCAGTAGTGTCATGATAGCTCACTGCAACCTGGGTTCAAGTGATCCTCCTGCCTCAGCCTCCCGAGTAACTGGGACAACAGGCACGTGCCACCACATCAGCTAATTTTTTCTGTTTTTTTTTGTTTTTTTTTTTTTTTTTTTAGTAGAGACAGGGTCTCACTCTTGCTCAGGCTGATCTCGAACTCCTGAGCTCAAGTGAGCCTCCTGCCTTGGCATCCCAGAGTGCTAGGATTACAGGCATGAGCCACCACGCCCGGCCAGAAAACTCTCATTTTCTTTCTTGTTCATGTGTCTTACACCTGACTTTGCCTAAAGACTATATTTCATTTAAATTTCTTCTCCTTGAGACAACAGCTTATGTGCCTTTTTCGGTCTCACTCAGTGTGGGATACCCATTAGGAGTTTTTCTCACTGGTAAATCACGAGGTAGCTTTTAGGAATGTATGAAGGACCCACAGGTTTTATTTTATCACACCTTAAGGGAACCATACAATGACAGAGAGTGGAGAATGCACCACTCAGGGTGGAGGGACTCAGTGAGAGTGTGATGATTTAGAGATTCATAGCATTCAGAGGTTCACTCTTATCTCAGGAATTAACAGACTATGATAACAGGGTATTGCAGTTTCCATTTAAGAAACAGAGTAATAAAACATGAACAGGGATGTCTAGCATGAGAACCGCTTAAGATTTCAAGAATTTTTGCAACTTTTATATGTTATTCTCTTTCTTTCCCCAGAGTGATTAGGATCAATATTCTCAGATCTGCAGACTGAGACTCAGGTACAAGAAGCAGATCATCTCTTATTTCAGGGGTAGTCTGGAGGTGAGACCAAGAGGGAGAAAACCCAAGAAATAGAGGAGGTGATGATTCAGAGTAGGAGAGAAGGTTGGTTGAGTTTTTTGAGGATGTAGAAGAAGGAAATGAAAGTGTTGGGGTAGGCCTGGGAATGACTTGGTATATAATTAGAAAAATCACAACAAAGTCCTACGGGCTGACTCGTGTCTCTCCCAGATTCATATGCTGAAGCCCTAACTCCCTTAGCATGATGGTATTTGGAGACAGGGATCTTGGGGAGGTGATTAGGGTTAGATGAGGTCATGAGGATGAGGCACTCACAATGGGATTAGCGCCCTCATAAAAAGGGACTCTAGAGAGTTTGCGCTTTCTGTGCACACAAAATGACCAGATCGCGTGCGTGCCCAGAAAGATGGCGGCCACCTACAAGCCACGAGAAGAGGCCTTGGAATAAAACCTACCTCGCCAAAACTTCAATCTTGGATTTCCAGCCTCCAGAACTGTGAGAAATAAATTTCTATTGTGTAAGCTACCCAAGCAGACTAAGACAAAAAACCAAAAAGAATCTGTGTAGCTCTTCCCCCCTCTCATCTCAAACCCAAGAGGGCAAAATCACAACTCTTTATGTCTTTCCCTACACTACATTTCCCTACTTATTTAAAAAGTATCTAGCTACGGCACCACATAAACGCTCCCCAAATATTAACTCTAGTAAGGTGCTATTCTTACCCCTATTTTATTGACAGGGAAATTGAGTACAGCGTTAAATAACTTGAGCAAGGTCACAGGGATGGCAAGAACCAGAGCCAGGATGTGTCCCAGCAGCCTAACTCTGGGATTATCCAGCCCTTCCTCCCTTAGTGGTGCCGACTTTATCCACATTTCTTTGCTGTCCACTGAGCTAGGAGCTGTATAGTTATCTTTGCCACTACAATGATGATTCATTCCCATTCTCTGTTTTCCTGCCATGTCCAAGAGTCATTTACTCAAGATTTTTCCTCCATGAAATAACCTACTCTCATATGCCAACGACCATATATAATTTATTTTCCACTGTGTGTTCACTTTTACTGGAGCAGTGAAAATAGGATGGACAATAAGAAATGGATTGTCAATGCTAGAATGATAGAAAACGTGGTGTTCTAAAAGCAGATTATTTATAGATGATATAAAAGTAATGGTTCTTTACTTAAAAAAAAGTAAACAAACAAACAAAAAAACCCCCTGAGATATAAGAAAACACATAGGATATAGAAGTCATTCTTCATCATATTGAAGAATTATTAAAGACAAGACCAATTCCAAGGCTTGATTTTCCCTTTGGTTTAGACAGCCTATAGTAATTAAATTCTACTAATTAAGATATAGAGTTGATGTCAACAAACACCCAGTGAGAAATGAAAGAAGAAAGCAAATCATCTTACCTGCTGACGTGTGTTTGAACTTCTCGCTTTTCTTCTTCCTCCATTTCCAAGGCTTGAAAATCCTCCCCAGGTTGGCAAACTTACTTCTCCTGCGGATGGGGGGCGTGTGGGTCCCTGGAACCAGGGAGTCAGAGCGCATGGCAGCCAGTCTCTCCACTTCCTCAGCTTGTTTTCCCCAAGGAAGAGATGGACAGAGAGAGAGGAAAACAAGTGTTAAAATGGAAACCTCACAGATGGCCAGTGTTTTCCATGGTTACAGATAACAGAAACCACATGACCAGAGTTCCGTTTCTCTTTTTGCCTTTTGGAATGGAAGTCATACCGAAGTGTTCTAAAGGCTGGGGACAGTCGGCACTTCAGAACACCCCAGCCTTCACCTAGACTTGAGGAGGAGGGTGGGGAGGGCTATCCTGACACATCAGAAGGTCCCCAACAAGGCAGGGAGAGGCCATCAAGAGACTCAAGTGAGAGTCAGTGTAACTGCTGGTCCAGCGATTTCTCAAAGGGGACTCGGCAGATGCAATCGCTATGGCACTGTTGGCTGAGAAAAATGGAGGCAGAAAACATATACCAACTGTCTATTCCAAAGCCAATGCCTCCACACCCACTGCCCTCCACTTGCTGTCACCCTCCTTTCCCCAGACCCCCAGAAGCCCTGAAATCTGCTAAGCAGGCGGCTCCACCTTAGGGTTACTGACTGATTCTACAATCACTCACGCTTCCATCAGATTTTACGACTGCCCTAATTCCACTAGCACTTTTTCTCCTGGAGTCTTGCTTAAAAAAAAAAAAAAAAAAAAAATTCCAGGAAATTGAGAATGAGGAGTGTCTTTAGGGGAACATCTAGACTAATCCCAATAACTGAACATTTGAAGATATTGAGACTTCAGATCTCATAATGCCTAGTGGACCCTCCCTGAAAGGCCACAATGATCCCAACCGCTTTTTGCCACATGGAATAAATATTACGAACTCTTTTCCACGTTATATAAGGATTTATGTACTCCAGTAAGGTAAACATACTCCAACTTGAATTTTTTAAGAAGAAATAATCAGAGAAAATAACCTCATTGGCAAAAATCAAGGGGGTGGAAGGAACTCAATTTCCCAGAAAGGAAAATTACATGTGAAGCTGGGGGAAATCCCAAATCACTCTTGTTTTGCCTCAACCACTGTCCCTCAGAAACATCATCTAGAGTCTTGCAACTTATGCACTCCTTGCAAGCTCAACCTGTGGCCCGACGGTCTACCGTCTGTGATCTGAAACTGGTTCTAACTCAGGAGATCCACTCATCCAACAAAAATGTATGGAATCTTAACCGTGTGCCAGGCAGTGGCCAGTGGCCAGTGGCCGTGACAGACGTGATTGGTTGGTAAGGCTCCTGACGGCAGGGCGGAGAGGAAGTAGACAGACCTGAGAGATGTGTTGGAGGGGAAGTCAACAGGGTTAGAGACTGCGTGAGTGGCCTGAAGGACAGGAAGAGATCATTCCCAGTTCCCGGGTGCGTGTCAGCAGAGCGGCGGCCTTCAGTCACAGGGACAAGGAACACAGGGGAAGGCACAGGTTTGGGGCTGAGGGCAGCGACGATTTGGACATGTTGCAATGAAGAGGGCATTTCAACCTTTGACGACATGGTTCACTGCGCTGGGCGTCCCTTGGCCCAATCATTTGACCGAGTAGCCACTTAAGTCTCTGCCCGATGCTGTGATCATTTATTTCTGGGGAAGACACACAGAAGAACTGGACACCGTCTTGAGCACAGGGTCTTGAGGAGGAGACCTCAAGCGGGAGGATCAGTGTGTAAAAACACGCCACAACAGGGCAACAATGTAAAACTCAACAGAGGCAAAGAGGAGAAACCGACTAATTCTGCTTCACAGTGTTGGAGAAGACTCAAGGGAGGTCATGTGGGCTAGGTTTTGAAAGAAGAAAGACTATTCTCCCTGCAGGGGGAAGAGGGAGGAGTGGATCCCTGGGAGTTGAGAAACAGATCCAACCAACAGAGAGGACTGAAAGAGCATGTGACGTCTAGACACTTTAAGGACCTGTTCCAGTGAACCTGGAACATGAGTTACGTTTCATGAGATGAAGGGCCCGTGGTGAGAGATGGGGATGGGAGAGCCTGGAGCCAGATCATGCAAGCTTTTGAAACGTTTTATACTCTAAGCCAGGGGTCCTCAAAATTTTTATACAGGGGGCCAGTTCACTGTCCCTCAGACCGTTGGAGGGCCGGACTATAATTTAAACAAAACTATGAACAAATTCCTATGCACACTGCACATATCTTATTTTGAAGTGAAAAAACAAATGGGCAAAAACACTCGCATGTGGCCCACGGGCCGTAGTTTGAGGACGCCTGGCTAAACAGAGGGACGAGGACGAGAACTTCAAAATGGGAAATTGACATTATTACATTCAACCAATATATACTGCCTGCTCACTCTATACCAGGGGCTTAGGCTACGTCAGTAAACAAAGCAGGTGGAAATACCAACTCGTGGAGCTTACATGGGGCGGTGGGGTAGGGGGCAGACAATAAATCCTAAAACCAAGTGAATTATAGAGTATGCTAGAAGCTACGTGCTTTGGGGGAAAATATAAAAGAATAAGTGGAACCCACTGAAGATTAAGAGTATGGGGCAGGGATGGGGTGATGGGGGAGTTGGGGGTAGAGGGTCGGCCTGATTGGGAAGTTGCATGGTCAGCATGCAATTAGATTTGTTTCCTAGGCCTGTCGCTGCAGCAGCCAAGGGAACCTGACCGGAAGTGTGAAGAAACAGTTGGCAGAAGGAACAAAAAGGAGGCCACTGCAATCTTAGTAACCAGGATCCAAGCAGGGCAGTGACAAAGGAACAGAGACGAAAGATGAGACTCAGGCAGGTGGGAGAATTGGCAGATTTGGTAATTTCCAGGATAAATGTGAAGCAGCACTTAGTAGCAAGGACGGCCAACATTTTTGGTTTTCATGACTAGGTCAATGTGACAATTTTATGTGTTGTAAAGAAGGAAGAAGTGGGATAGGATGGTGGCTTAATGACAAGGACTTTGGAGCTAGATAATGCAGCCATTCTGCAAATGCTCTTTAGGGGTTTGGATTTTATTTCCTGTTGAGAGGAAATTTGCCAGGTTGAGACAGGGGAGACTGGATCCGGCCAGTAGTTGAGCTGCAAGAGAGCCAGTAGAGAGTGAGGGGTGGAAGATGTAGGAAAGAAGCTGAGAAATTTATGAAACAGAGTTCTTAGGAAGGAGAAGAGGAGGTGGAGTCAAAAGTACACAGAGAAGTATTAGTCATCGGAAGACTTTACACTGAGTGATTGAAAGTTTGAACTGAGGTCTCTGAACACAAATGGCAAAGATCAGATGTGGGCCTCAGGGAGATTAATCTAGCAGCAGTGGGCAAAATGGATTACTGGAGGCGGAAGGAAGAAGATAAAAGACTCAGAAGGTTTTAAGTAAGTTTGGGTTGCAGAATGGCTAAGGAAAGTGGTTAAAGAAAAAGCCAAGCCGGGCGTGGTGGCTCACGCCTGTAATCCTAGCACTTTGGGAGGCTGAGGCGGGCGGATTGCTCAAGGTCAGGAGTTCGAAACCAGCCTGAGCGAGACCCCGTCTCTACCAAAAATAGAAATAAATAGCTATACGAAACATTAGCCGGGGCATCCGTGGCCATGCCTGTAGCCCCAGCTAACTCCAGGAAGGCTGAGGCAGCAGGATTGCTTGAGCCAGGAGTTTGAGGTTGCTGTGGAACCTAGGCTTGACCATGGCACTCACTCTAGTCCTGCAACAGAAAAGTGAGACCTGGTCCTCAAAAAAAGAAAAAGAGGGGAGGAGGGGAGGGGAGGGAAGGGAGGGAAGGGAGGGGAGGGGAACCAGGGAGGGAGAGGGAGGGAGGAGGAGAGAGAGGAGAGGAGAGAAGGAGGAGGAGAGGAGAGAGCAGGGGAGGTGGAGGGGGGAGGGAGGGAGGGGAAAAAAAGGGGGAACAAGGGGCGGGGTGAGGGGCGCCCAGGCAGGGGGGAGGGGGAGGGGAGGAAGGAGAGGAGAGGAGAGGAGAGGAGAGGAGAGGAGAAAGCATCTCGGGTACTTGGGTGGAGCTGCATTGGTAGCAGCAATTGTGGGAAACCACAGAAAAGAAGTTTTGAGTCCAGGAGGGAGGCCAAATCAACAGATATTCTGGTGATCTGATTCCCATTCCCACAAGGTCACTTTCTCTTTCATTTCTATCACGTTTTTCCCATTTCTTACCTGAATTTACAGACTTAACGGTTGCTCGTCCAGATTTTACAAGTCTTCAAACCTATATTCCCACCCTTCGTCTCCTGCCTTCAAATCTATACTTTACACTCTTATTAGATTACTTTTCCAGAAGCCTGCTCTTTGCAGAAACCGTCAGCGACTTCCCAGAGCGTATAGTAGAAAGTTAATTTCCTGCCTTGGTCTTTAGGAAGCTCGACCTGAGTGTGCTGCTCAGAATTATCTTCTGGGACTTTTCTCAGGCTACAGCAGGAATGAAATACTTCCAGTGGCAGCAGGCTCATCCGGGGATCTCTGGATCCCATGATGCTTCCAGGGGGGCCCATCAAACCACTGACAGGCATAGTTTCATATGTATTTGGGGACCTGAATTTGGTTGGAAAATTTCCTATCTTTTTTCTGATTCTCAAAACAGGTAAAATTTTTAAAATACTCAGTTTGTGGATTTTCTGAGTTCAGCCAAATTAAAACATCTGCTAAAGGTTAAAAAGATTATATACAGAAAGAATCCTTTAAAAAAAAATCAAAGAATTATTCAGGGTTGCTACTGAGTTTGCCTCTCATAACTTGGCACTCAATAACAACTTATCAAATAGATAAATGACTGCATTTTGATTTGGTTCACAAGCATCTCAAGAGGTGTGAAAATAAGTATCACTATTTGTCTTAAGAAAAATGCACCACCGGGGACGGGAAGGCTGTTTCACAATCACATCTTTATGAAATGGAAACAAATTATTCCAAAATTGCTACATTAAAATAATTATAAGAAACTAGGGGAGCCTTTGAAAAACCTAGAGTGGCAAGGAGCAGAGGATTGTAAAGGCATAATTATAACTCAGTAATTAAATGAATCCTTAATAACTATATTATTAAATTCAAGATGTTTAGCTCTTAAGTACAGCAGATTATTGAGCAGGCTGGGTTCCATCAGGTTTAGCTGATTTATATTTGAATCGCCCATATTATTACATTTTCCCCCAATTCCTCTGAGGACAGGGTGACTCTCAGCCTGACTGCTCTGCCGTCAGATAATGCAACTGGAAAGCTTAAGAGTGAGGGAAGAGGCCGACTTGTGAATACGTTTGAAAAGAAGGAAAACAAAACACAAGGCAGGGCACAGAATAAAGCGGAATCCTACCCCAGGGAGGAGAGAGGGACCAGCAGGAAGGCAAGCGGGAGAGGAGGGGCCAGGCAGGTGTGTCTAGGAATCATAAACAGCCTCCCTTGCTCAGGCCCACTGGAAGGTTGGTTCCTCGTGCTGCTGAGACAGGAGTGGGGTGTCTGAAGAAAACAGTCACGTACACATGAACTGTCCCCGATGTCACCTGCCAGCGCTGAGCCTGCTGAGTGAAAAGGACGGGGGTAGGGCGGGGGTGAGGTGGGGTGGGGTGGGGGTGGGGACAGCCAGCCTCAGCCATGATCTCCAGGGCTCGTTCCAGCTCCACCACCAAGAGGACACTCTTTGAGAGACCCGCTGGGGGCTCCCTTTGATGACATGACTGGGTTTTGTTTTATCCGTGGTGTCAGGAAATGGTTGGGAGATTATTTTTCTTTCTCTTTAGAAAAGCCACAAAGAAAATACTTGACGTAGGCATGATTTTAATTACCGGGAGCCCAGCCCTTGGGGTAGCATGGGGCCACTCCTGGTGGGTTCTCAGGGTGCGTGAGAATAGGTGGGCCAGGTGCTTCAGCAGAGACCCTTACGTTATATTTCGTGCAGTGGCTTGGCCTTCAAAGGCTCCTCCGGGGAAAGTATTAATACTAACTTGCTTCCTGCTGGCCTAGAAAGTGCGAGTTGTGCCGCATCCCACAAGGCAATCTGGAATGAGGGAAGCCATGGTGTCTGTGCTATTTGATATCTAGCTGGAGTGAGCCCCAGAGGCAGAAGGAGCAGGCCACTGGGGGTCTCACTGGAGCTCTCTCCTTGTGCCAAGCGCCCCGGGGGTTTGGAGGACCTAAGAGCCTCATATGTTAGATTCTTCTTCCTTAGCCCCAAGTAAACTCAGTAATAGAATGCTTATGTCACAGAATCTGATGACATTCACTTTTTTTTTCCCAGTTAGAAGTGGTTACATATTCTTATTTCACCACCCTAGGAATGGGAGCCAAGGGATGGGACGGAGGTGAGGTCGACTGTCAGCTCGCTGCACCGATGTGTCCAGGGCCTGAGCCCGGCACCTCCCTGCCACCAGCAGCACTGCCTCTTCTTGCAGCTGCAGAACGATGCCACACAGGTACCCAGCCACTCAGTGAGTCCTCAGCAACTGCAGCTTCCTCCTTGCATATAAACGTGCTCTGATATTTACAGAGCTACTTTCTCGTGAGGAAATGAAGGGTTTATACACATTATCAGGCGTATGAGGACAGCATTCTTCCTTTTTCACTCTATCATACTTATGCCACACTTTCTTAGAGAGGCCAGATCTGCTCGAAGAGTTTCTGACAACCTAGGATCCATCTGTACTAACTAGGAGATGTGTCTTTTTAAAAAGAGTGAAACATGTTTATTCTAAATACTGGAGCTTCTGCCTTTCCCCATGAGTTAAGGGACAGGATAGGGATGGGGGAGTGGAGGGAGAAGGTGTGGGCATCAGAGGGGAAAGCCATGGGGCAAATGGAGGCTCTTTGGGCCCAGAGAGGTTGCCTGGCTCAGGGAATAAACACACACCTCCACGGAGCTGGGAGATAAACCAACACTGCCATATCGCCCAAGAGCTACCAAACAGGACACGAGTAGGCGGATCATTGACCTTCACTGCCCTTCCCTGTCCTTTCAGCCTCCTCTGCCTCATCCCTTAGCAACCAGAGAGGGATCCAATCAATGTCTATGTTAGAACTAAGCTGTGAACACTGCCGATGGCTTAGCATATGCTAATGAGATAACAGCAGCATTTAACAAGGGTTTATCTGTCTTAATCCAAAGAGTGGATAACTTGAGTAATGCAAGCCCCGAGGGGGATAAGGAGGGAGCGCTGGTGCTGCCCGGCTCCCCGGACTCACAGGCAGCTCCCTTTTCTACCTGGGGACCACCAGGAGAAATGTCACGTACATTCCCCACAAAACGACACACAACCATCACACCACACCGTGACATCTGACAGTCTTCCCTACTGCACCTCCGGAGGGACAGGTTTACGCCGAGAGAGTTGCCAATCCATCTTATTGCAATGAGAAGGGTATTTTTTCATGGGGAAAGAACCACTAATGTGTGCGCCTTTCCATACAGTTCTGTGGGCTAGGAGACGGTGTGAAATGAGAGGGAGGCTGCACATACCTGGTCTGCCGTCTCTCAGCAGATTTGCTCAGGCACTTGGCCAAATTCCTCCGTTGCTTCTGGCTCTAGAGAGTTCTGCCTGGTAAAAGGCAGCTCCCCCCACTGCTGGGAGTAGGCCCTAGGGATGCTTTCACAGGCATGCTGCGCTCTCCTGCACTAAGAACAGGCCTGGTGCCTTGGCAGGACACCAGGGCACTGTGATGACGTGCAATGGAGGGAGAGGGGAAGGAAGGGGAATTCATGGATCTATCTGTCCCAAAGATGGCCCAAGTCATGTTTCTGTTAATCTGCTCTTGAAGCATTAATTGACATCCAAGAGGACTATGAGAATGTCCATAAATCCCAGTGCTCTAGGATGCACTGATTTCAAAGACAGCAAAGTGGGTAGCTCTACTGGCTCTGGAATCGTAGGCCACTGTATTGGAAAGAGGCTGTACGACTATGACCTCTGGCACATGGTGACCTCCGGCATATGGTGAACAGGGTTTTCCATTTCCTTCTAACAGGAGGGAAGATTCTGAATAGGATAGTGTTTCCTTAGCATCGAGGATGATGATGATGACAGTGACGATGACAACAAGAACAATAATAATAATAGCATTAAGTTACTAAGTCTGTGCCAGGCACTACTTTAAGCATTTAAAATGTATTACTGTATATTATCCTTGCATTGCTCTTATGAGTTAGTATTATATATTATCCCCATTTTACAAATGGGGAGATTGAGAAGGGACTAATGAATAGGAAGAAGTGATTCTCAGAAGAGGCAAGTGCTTTTAATTAAGACATGTCTATTTTCAAGAACATCTCCCCACTGGGTAAAAGTCTGGCTTTTTGAATCTCTGTATTACTGACTAAAGTAAGAGGAGGACTTCACAGATGAGAGAAGAAATAAGCTTCCTTTTTTGAAAAGGTTGCAAAACAGGTGCCAATATAAATTGATCCTACTCTAGCAAGAGAAAAGAAATGCTGTCTTACCCTGAAATGTCATAATATAGATGTACATCCATACGTGAGTGCCCTGGAGGACACCTCCCCTAGGTCACTAGGACATTAGGAGCCAGAAGGACTTTCTCTACTAAGCACCTATGCCACAGGCCGTAATTATGAACTCAGCAGGTGCCAGTCAGGCCCGGAATAGGCTCAGAACTGCTTCATTTAGAAAACGCTGTGCATAGTGTACAGTGGAAACAGTGTTACGAAAACAGGAAGACGTAGGATCACATCCAGAATCTACCACCTAATAGCAGCTGGTAATATGAGTTATTTGCTGCTGGCCTCCCAGCGGGTGGCAAGGGCTTCCTGATTGCCTTCTGGAGTGTCACCCCTCGTCCCCACCTACTCCAGGTGGTTCAGGAAGAGTTCATCTCAGCCCTGAAGCCAGGCGTGGGCATGTGACCCAGTGCTGGCCAATCAGAGCGCTTCATCTCCACTCTCCAGCCCCAGTAATTCATTCAGGGGGAGCAACTGAGCTTGGCCAGGCAGTGAGACTCAATTCTGGGTTTTGTTGGGTCTATAGATAAACATGCTCTTTCAACTAGGATTGCAGATTAGACAGGCTCTAAGCCTAGTAAAAGCAGGGTCCATAAACTAAAAAAACCTTCATTCAGCTTTGGCTAGTAGTAAAAGAATCAATCTCTAGGTCACAATGGCAATCCATAAGCTTTGAGAGGAAACAATCCTATTACGTCAAATACTTTGCATTTTCTCAGTACTGTGTTGGGAGAATGAGGGTATTTACATTCCGTGAAAACAGGCACTCAGCGAACAAAGCGCATTGCTAAAAACCAGACAGACAGGGGGAAAAGTTCTTATTTAAATTTAAAATCATATGGGCTCTGTGCTATCATACTTATTGAGATAATAGATGTTATTAGCAAAGTTCTTCCTGAGCTGTTCAACATGAAATTTCCGTTTCATCTCCCAGGAATCTAACCTTCAACCACTAACGCATATAATGACTACAAAAACTTATAGAACATTCTATTATTCATTTAATCTATAGAATATATTTGTGTTGGGAACGGAGAAACTTATTTGAATTGTAAATGAACTCCCAAGTCTTGCGTTAATGCAAAGCAACAATCTTCAGATAATGTAGGCTCTCCGTTCATCTTAAAACCTCAGCCCCCACGGTCTGATATTCTTCATGCAGCTAAATAAATACTGCCTTTCCCAAATTCAGATCCCGCAACGAAGCCTGGTTTCTCCTGCAGGGGTCAGCAAACTCTTTCTGTTCAGCCAAACAGGAACTACTTTAGGCTTTGCGGGCCATACAGTCTGCAGCAAGTACTCAACTCTGCTGTTGCACCAGGAAAGCAGCCTTAGACAAATGTTCACAAGTGGGCATCGACTGTGTTACAATAAAACTTTATTTACAAAAACAAGCAGCTTGCCCCTCGGGGCCACAGTTTCCCAACCTTTGTCCTTTAGCATGGAGCTGCTGGCAATTTTTCTGCCACTTCAAGGGGAGAGGCTGCCTGAGCTTTGAGCCAAGACAAAGGAAAAAAGAGCAGAGGATGACTCCGGTGAGACCAAAACCTCCTAACATCATTTGGGCCTCTGGATCCAGCCCTGCCTGAAAGCATTATAACCCTGGGTGTTTTCCTTACGTGAACCAATACATTCTTTTTGCTTAAGCTAGATTGATTGGGCTTGGTTCTCTTTTATGTGCAACCAAAAGCGCTCTACTGAATTACTGGGTGACTTAGGAAAGTTCCATCATCTTCCTCTCTGTAAAATGGGGATGATACTGACTTGTAAAGGTTAACAGGCATGGACTAAAAGCACCCTTTAGGGGCATAGAACATGGGCTCAACAAAAGTTATCTACAAGTGAAAAGTCTCCTCTGGTAGCAGGCAGACCACCTGGCCGATAGGGGTTCCTCTAGGGGTGAAGTTCCTTACCACCTCACTCCTAGGTCGCCCCTTAAGGCATGGCATGAATTTAAGTTTTGGAGGCTCTGAACTGTGCCGAGACTCTCCAGACCAGTGGATCTCAACCTTTAGTGTGCATAAGAATCAGCTGAAGTGTCCTTTGCACTCGCTTGCTTTTTTTCTCGATTCCTTTATTCTACTTAACCGTGTCGAGTCACACTCGACATCCCAGTGCAAAGGGTCAAAAATTCTGATCCCTAGTCTCCATCTTAGACCTGCGGACCCAGGGATGCGAATGCATAATAAGCAGCACAGGTAATTCTGATGGGGGCATTCTGAGAACCACACTTTAAGAAACACACCTGCAGCATTCCTAAAGAAGCCTAGAATCCCACTCCCTTCTCCCCAACTACATGCACAGCCTTCAGGAGGATGGCTAAGGAGGAAGCTCCCTAGTGTAGAAAAGTAAAGCATGATGCAATGGTGTCTGCTAGTCCCCGAACCCTCATGTGATTGGGAATTATTTTAAAATTCCTACTGTTCATGTAGTGCTTTATTCTTTCTAAGTGCTTTTAGACCTATTACCTACATCCCCATTATGTAGGTAGGGTATAAATTTTCCTAACTTTGTTTCCCTACAATTATAACTAACATGCTATTTTCTCTTCTAGGAAGAACTGAATTATAATTTGGCCCTTTTAAGGCTCTGAGAAGGTCTGCAATAAGCCTTTTAAACTCTGTTTAACCCATTGCTTCCAAAACTTAATCACGACTATGGTGGGTTGGCATTTCCCTAAGGGATGCCATTAAGCCCAAGCTCTTATAATACCTTATGTGCCAAGGAACACAACTTGCCAAATGCGGAGTTAGCGTCTTTTTTGTCCCATTCTATAGTTACAAGAAATGAGACACAGGAGTCAAGTGACTTGTCCAGAATGTGCCAACTCACACAGGGAGTGAAGGTGGTCCAGGGTTCCTGAGTCCAGCGACTGTTTGTCACTCACACATCATGTCTCACTGGATGGCTTGAGAATGACCAAGACCAGGCTGTGCAGGCTTTTAGACTCAACTCTTCGCAGTCTTTGTCTCCATTAATACTGTCAAGGTTAATACACTCCTGGGCACTTTTTCTCCCTTGAACTCATTCCAAA